GGTAACCATGTTAATGCCCCCAAACAACAAAACGGCGAACACAGGACAACAGAGGAAAAGAGAACAACAAGGACAACAGGGACGACAAGGACAACAAGGAAAACAAGGAAAGCAGGAAAAACAAGGACAACAGGCACAATAGGGACAACAAGGACAACAGGGGCAGACAGGGCAATAGGAACAACAAAGGCAACAGCCAAAAGGGAGACAAAAGGGACAAGACAGACAACAGCGGTAACAGGAGCAACAAGGACAATAAGGACAACGGGCACAAAAAAGGCAAAAGGGAACACAAACAAGACTGGCAACAACAACAACAGTAAAAACAGCGATAACAGCGAAAAAGCGAAAACAGTGAGAAGCGTGACAACAGAGAAAGCAATAACAAAAGCAACAACAACAACAACAGTGATAACAGAGCCAACAGTGACAGCAGTGACAAGAGAGAAAAAAGCGGAAACAGTTCCAAAACTGAAAAAAGCGAAAACAGCAACAACAGTGGCAACAATGAGAACAGCGACAGCAGCGACAACGATGACAACAGTGATAATGGTGGCAACAGCAACAACAGAGAAAACAGCAACAACGGTGACAACAGCGACAATGGTCACAAAAGCGACAACAGTGACAACAGGGACAACAGTGACAACAGTGACAACAGTGACAAAAGTAAGAACGGTGACAACAGTGAAAACAGTGACAATGGTTACAACAGTGAAAACGGTGACAACAGTAAGAACAGTGACAACAGTGACAACGGTGACAACGGTGACAACAGTGAGAACAGCGACAATGGTGACAACGGTGACAACAGTAAGAACTGCGAGAACAGTAAAAAAAGTGACAACAGTGACAACAGTAATAACGGTGACAACAGAAAGAACAGTGACAAAAGTAACAACAGTGACAACAGTAACAACAGTGAAAACAGTGACAACAGTGACAAAGGTGACAACACTGACAACGGTGACAACGGTGACAACAGCGACAACAGTGACAATGGTGACAACAGTGACAACGGTGACAACAGTGATAACGGTGACAACAATAAGAACAGTGACAACAGTGACAAAAGTGACAACAGTAAAAACGGTGAAACAATGAAAACGGTGACAACAGTGACAGCGGTGACAACAGTAACGACAGTGACAACGGTGAAAACAGTGACAACGGTAAAAACGGTGACAACAGTGACAATGGTGACAACAGTGACAACAGCGACAACCGTGACAACAGTGACAACGGTGACAACAGTGACAACAGGTGACAACAGTGACAACAGTAACAACGGTGACAACAGTAACAACGGTGACAACAGTGACAACGGTGACAATAGTAAAAATGGTGACAACGAAGACAACAGTGACAACGGTGACAACAGTGACAATGGTGACTAAAGCGGCAACAGTGACATCGGTAACAACAATGACAACAGTGACGACGGTGACAACAGCGACAACAGTGAGAACGGTGACAACGGTGACAACAGTGACAACGATGACAACAATGACAACAGTGTCAACAGTGACAACAGTGACAACAGCGATATCAGCGACAACAGTGAAAACAATGACTACACTGACAATGGTGACAAAAGTGACAACAGGTGACAACAGTGACAAGAGTGACAATGGTGACAACGAAGACAACAGTGAAAACAGCGACAACACTGACAACGGTATCAACAGTGAAAACAGTGACAACAGCGACAACAGCGACAACAGCGACAACAGTGACAACAGTGACAACAGTGACAACGGTGAAAACAGTGACAATGGTGACAATGGTGACAACAGTGACAACAGTGACAATAGTGACAACAGCGACAACACTGACAATGGTGACAACAGTGACAACACTGACAACAGTGACAACAATGACAACAGTGACAACGGTGACAATAGTGACAACAGCGACAACGGTGACAATGGTTACAATAGTGACAACAGCGACAATGGTGACAACGGTGACAACAGCGACAACGGTGACAACAGTAAGAACAGCAACAACAGTGAAAACATTGGCAACGGTGACAACACTGATAACGGTTACAACAGTAACAACAGTGACAACGGTGAGAACAGTGACAATGGTGACAACAGTGAAAACAGTGACAATGGTGGCAACAGTGACAACGGTGACAACGGTGAAAACAGCAGCAACAGTGACAACGGTGACAATGGTGACAACGGTGACAACAGCGACAACGCTGACAACAATGACAACAGTGACAACGGTGACAATAGTGACAACAGCGACAACGGTGACAATGGTTACAACACTGACAACAGCGACAACAATGACAACAGTGACAACGATCACAACAGTGACAATGGTGAGAATGGTGAAAACAGTTACAACGGTGACAACAGTAGGAACAGCAACAACAGTGAAAACATTGGCAACGGTGGCAACACTGATAACGGTTACAACAGTAACAACTGTGACAACGGTGAGAACAGTGACAATGGTCACAACAATGAAAACAGTGACAACGGTGGCAACAGTGACAACATCAACAACAGTGACAACGGTGACAACGGTGACAAAGGTGACAACAGTGACCACGGCGACAACGGTGACAACAGTAACAACGGTGACAACAGTAAGAAAAGCGAAAATGGTAAAAACATTAACAATGTTAACAACAGTGACAATACTGACAACAGTGAGAACAGTGACAATGGTGACAGCAATGACAACAATGACAATGGTGAGAATAGTGACAACAGCGACAACAGTGAAAACGGTGACAACAGTGACAACAGTGACAAAAGTGGCAATGGTGACAACAGCGACAACACTGACAACGGTGACAACGGTGAGTACAGTGACAACAGTGAGAACGGTGACAACAGTGACAACGGTGACAACGGTGACGACAGTGACAATGGTGACAACAGTGACAACGGTGACAATAGTGACAACAGTGACAACGGTGACAACAGCGAGACACTGACAACAGTGACAACAGTGACAACAGCGACAACAGTGAAAACGATGACAACATTGACAACAGTGACAATGGTGACAACTGTGACAACAGTGACAATGGTGACAACTGTGACAACAATGAAAATGGTGACAACAGTGACAAAAGCGACAACGGTGACAACAGCGACAACAGTGACAACAGCGACAACAGCGACAACAGTCACAACGGTGAGGACAGTGACAACGGTGACATCAGTGACAACAGTGACAACGGTGACAACGGTGAGGACAGTGACAACGGTGACAACAGTGACAACAATGACAACAGCAACAACGGTGGCAACAGTGAGAACAGTGACAACGGTGACAACGGTGATAACGGTGACAACAGTAACAACGGTGACAACGATGACAACGGTGAGAACAGTGAGAACAGGTGACAACAGGGACTACGGTGACAATAGTGACAACAGTGATTTGCATAAAAACAAAATTGTAGTTTTTGGAGTTTAGGATGGGTGGTCTATGACGCATATTTCGTCACGAATTACGTCATTTTGACGTCATGATGACGTAATTTGTGACGAGATACGCGTCATAGCACCACATATGCCGGATTCAAAAAACTACAATTTTGATTTTATCCAGCTTTGTGTTTTTTCCGTTGTAAATACATTCCTTATTTTCGCGTTAAAATACACCTAAAGTTTGACCATATATGGTCATGAGGCGGGAAATTTTAATTGCTTTAATTAACTGTAACTTCACGCCATTTTATCCGATTGAGATGGGGTTTTCACTGTAAATATTGTTTTTCTGTAACAAAAATGTTTGTAACATTTGGAACACTGCTTATCAAATTTCTAACGTTGTTACTTAAAATACGTTTCACTTATGACGTCATACTTTCAAGAAAAGTCAAAAATACCTTTACAATTGTAAAAATTTAAAGAAAACTTTTCTCCAATTAAGATGTTCTAATGTTTTACTTCATTTGAAATATAAACTACCCCTCTGTATGCCAGAAATTGAATTTAGGAACCTAATGGGAGCAAAAGCCCTAGCAACCGACCATCGTGTAACAGTGACAACAGTGAGAACAGCAACAAGAGCGACAACCGTGACAACAGCAACAATGGTGACAACAGCGATCACAGTGAGAACAGTGATAACAGAGAAATCATTGACAACAGTGACAACAACGTCAAAAGCAACAACAGTGACAATAGTAAACACAGTGAGAACAGTGATAACAGAGAGAACAGTGACAACAGTGACAACAGCAACAACAGCGATAACAACAACAACAGTGATAACAGTGACAACAGCGACAGCGGCAACAATAGAGACAAAAGGGGGAACAGTTCCAACAGCCACAACAGCGGCACCAGAGATGACCGTGGCAACAGCAACATCAGTGACAACTGGAGAACAGGGACAACAGTGAAAAAACGAAAATAGTGACAATAGTGACAGCAGGGACTACAGAGACAACAGCGTCAGCAACGATTAAAGTTACAACAGTGACAGTAGCGACAACAGTGAGGACAGAGAGAACAGCAACAACTGGAACAACAGTGACTACAGCAACAACATGAGCCAACAGCGACAACAGTGACAACGGCAACAATAGTGACAACACTGACAACGGTAACAACAGAAAACAATAAAAACAGTGACATCAATGACGACAGCGACAATAGTGTCAAGAGCTAGAATAGCAACGGCAGGAACAACAGTGATATCGACCTTCTTTTCCTTCTTAAATTTCGCATTTTTTTGTTTTAAATTTTTCTTAGGTTTTATAGTCGTCCCAAAACAAATTGTAGAGCAATGTTTGGAAGCCAAAAAACTTTTAAAGGGTGTTTTCACAGACCTGGCCTGTCTCTATGGATATTTATTGAAAAAAGGGTTTACAGAAAAGTTCAGCACGCAAAAGACCTGCATGGAAAACAAAATGGCCGCCGTTTGATTCTTTTGGAATACAAACATGACCACCCTGACGACAGGAGAAATCGTTTTAATATGATCGAAATGACGAATTTATAACAACCGTTCCTCCTTAACTTACTCAAATTACCTGGACAACCATACAGCTCTATCCTCATAGATATACGACTGTTCCAAGCTATAGGCAATACACGAACAAACATCGTAGTGACTGGTGGACTGAGTGCATTATACACAACAGTATCACTGTCATCGTTTCCAGTAAAAACCTGTAATAAGCAATGAAACAGTGAAACCTTAAACCCTCCCTAAGAGCAAATAAGCGGCCAACAAGTCTCTCACTTCAATGCTTGGATAAATATGTTTGGCCTAGTCCTGAAAAAACTGTTCACAATTTAGTCATTGTTTGCCAGCTATGTTGCCTTAGAAAACGGGTTATGACTTCACACAGGGTCTAATCAAAACATATTGGACGATCGAGGTAGCGGTTTTTTATCCTTCTGGCTAACGGTATTAGCTTAGCTTGTTGTAAATGAGAACTGATTTAAAAACATCTGGTTGCCTTTGAAGTATTTTACATACTACGTGTCTGAAGATACCTTAGCTGACTTGTCTCCATGTTCGTTGTAAAACTGGAAGTTCATTCCATCATCACTGTACTGTAAGTTGTAAGTGGTCACCCACTCATTGGACCCAGTCCTCCCCTGAGTCGCTACACGTGTTAATGTGGTGTAACCTCCAAGATCCACTTGTAGCCACTGGTGGAGATCGTTTTTAAGGGCACTCCACCCAACCCCTCCAGGTAGGTTTTGATCTTCTTTGAGGTGTAGCCTGGCCTTGCTTGGAGAGCTATTCTCATCAGACAATGACGATGCACTGATCTGGGCATCTGATATTTGTTTATTTTCCATACCAAGTGGTGCTATACAACCTGTATGGTGCAATAATACAGTTTATAATAAAACTTCATCTTTTGGGCCGGTATGTTTGAAGGGATCGAATCTGATATAGTCCAAAAGAAAATAATGTCATAGCTCAAGGAAAACTCTCCATAAGTGCGTTACGTAAAACACTTTTAATGTATGTGACCACGTGAAACTAAGACACATCAAGTCGTATTTTGAACGGTCATACCAAAAATCCATATGTTGTTTCTTTGTTCTGTCTGGAAGTGGAAAATGTAATGAAAAATGTATTAAAAAGTTCAATTTGTGATCCAATCCGTTCTTTATCCATTTATCCATTTGGACATAAACAATCATAGAGGAACTATTAGCTGCAGTTACACAAGACAACTTAACCATAATAATAGGGAGCTTAAGCGACGACGACGGCGAGGGCAGCCAGAACAGCGAAAAAGCAATAGGTTTAATATAAGCAAAACAGTAACTTTGCACATGCATCACGCTGTTTTCTACATTTCTTTGCCATCGGCACAACTACGAAGTGGAACTACCTAATTTCTTGTTTTTGTGGAGGACGCTTAGGCAAGACGACGAATTTTTTTCTTTCTCTGAACTTGCATACGGCTGTTTTAGAACTGATTTAACCCCAGAAAATTTGCCAACATTTGATAACTTGAACGTGATGGAATGTTAGCGCGGTGCGGTTTGAAACAGTTAGTGCGAAATCACTTTATATTAGTGACGTTTTAGCAGCCGTCGCCGTCGTGGTTACTCCTAGGGCAAACGTAAGGCTAACTTTAATGCTAGGTAGATTACAAAGGATTATTTCTTTTCCGCGGGTAAACCAGCAAATAAGCGCTCCATAGGGTGCTAACCACGGTTATTTTCAACATGCCAATTCAAATTAATCACTACCGCTCACACAGCATTGTAGCTTACATACCACTCTGAGAAAATTATTTGGAAGTGTATCACACCTGGGCAGCCGTAGATCTCTACTCTCATTGATATGTGATTATGCCACTCTATTGGTATAAAACGAAGGTAGCGTGCTCTGATCGGCTGGCTTAATCTGTTTGTAGAAACGCTGTTACTGTCTTTATTGCCTTCAAACACCTAAAAGGGGAAAAATGGCCTACTAGTTTTCACTTTCTCATTTCAAGTAAATCCCGGCTAATCGTGACAAACTGAATGAACCACAGTCACTCCAACTGTTTTCGGCGACGAGTTGGAATTGGACACCACCGCTATTTTTTCATAAGATCATCGAGATCGAGCGCCCTGCGTTACGGGCGGCCATCTTGGCTTCAAATGTTTCGCCTGGAGATGAATGTCAAATCTACTTAGGAGGCGGAGGACGGTTTGGGAGGAGGCCTCCCTCCCCACCGCTACAAACCCCGACCCTGCCTCCCCCTCAGTAAATATGAAACCAAGATGGCCGATCTTACGAGAAAATAGGGTACTGCGAACAGCCTAACTTAGAATGAACAGCAAACCAATCAACCTCCCTCTAGCTCTGATGGATAATATCATATTCCCTACCGCTTTACGGCTTTCGAGATTACTTATTCCAACCCTAGAGAAAAATATCACGTTAAATGCATTCCAAGCATTTTAACGTATATTATATGTAACAAACCAACAAATATTACACCCCCACTTCTGGAGTCAATGTTGTTTGCCTCTTTATATACACATACACCTGCAGACTATGTAACGTTTCCTTCAGTGGCTTTGTCAAAGATTGCAGTTACGGTTAACGACAAAACCCGCAAATCGCCACAAATCTAACGAACACGACTGAGCTTTGTGTATACTTACCATTGCTGAGCTGTTTTCCCTCAGCTTATAATACATGAAGATATTTCCTGCACGGCTATATTTCAATCTGTAATGTGTCACCCACTCGTTTCGTCCATTCCCTCCTTGGGTCGCTACACGTGTTACAGTTGTGTAACCACCAAGTTCTATCTGAAGCCACTGATAAAAGTCATCTTTAAGAGCCGACCACCCTCCCCCCGTCCTGGAATCAGCTGTCAGATGCAGCCTTGCTTGCAAAGCGGTGTGTTTGTTGTCAAGTGACGATGAAGCGGTTATTCCAGAATCATGGATCGCTCCATTTTCCATACCAAGCGGTGTCGTACAGCCTAGATTTGTTTTAGAGGCAGAAACATCAAAAAAGCTTAATACCCTCGCTAATTAGGCATGGTTTTGTCCCTTTCTGTAGAAAACCCAAGTAAGCAAGATCCAGCCGCTCTCTCAAACTGCCGGGCTACTCAACAAACTTTTATACGCGGAGGCTCCCCAAGCAATGTGTTTGTTATCACGTGATAACGAGGCGGCTATCCATGAATAAGGGATCGTTCTATTTTCTATATCAAGCGGTGTCGTACAACCTAGATTTGTCTGATTTGGTTGGATTACCTTTCCTTGGATACTCTTTTCTAGAAAACCCAAGTAACGTAGACCAATCAACCCTTTCAAACTGCAGAGTGAATTATAGCTTACGACTTTCTAATCGTCAAGGAACTGGGACGTTGCAGGTTTTCTTTAAGCCAAGTAAGAAGGGCCGTAGCTAGGTTTTTTTGTCACGAGGTGGGGGGCATTATCGCGACTGCCGAAGGCATGAACCTTGTAGGGGGGGTCTGTATCCTCCCTGAGTCTAAAAGAACAAATCCATCCACAGACTTGATTTGTCTGGGTCAACAGTTCAGGGGCGGCTGCCCCCTTCCCCTCCACTAGCTGCGGCTCTGGTAAGCAGATAGTGGACCGGTAGTGATGCAAGATCAATGCCCAAGGAAAGTGACACACTCTAACAACACGCGCACAGCCATGTCTCCTGGTGGCAGCCACAGACAGCTGTTTCGTTCAATCAGAACGCATCAGTATAGCTTTCATGTAAGGACGGCCCCATTCAGAAGAACCCGGATATTTTTTAAACCACATTTTTTTTACACGAATAGGCCTTCCTTTCACACGAAATTAGCAAATCCGCTAACCGGAAACGACATCTGAAACTCCTCCACAATGTATTTTTGTCTTGGATTCGACTGATTTGCAAATTCGTGTAGCCGATGGACACCGCATATTGTCGAATTTCGATCGAATTGCCTAGGTATGCGGTTTCAGCCATCCTCTGTTGGTGTGGACAATGCCTGAAGCTTGGTTCGAATGGAGCGTGTTGCAATCAGCACCAGATTCATTGTAAGTGGCAACTACTGTAAGTAGTATTACTGTGCAAGTAAGCGAGCAATGTAAGTTTGAATACCTGGACAACCGTAGATCTCCATCCTCATGGATATGTGTCCACGCCACTCCATCGGTTTGATTCGAATGAAGCGCGTTGTAATGGGTGGATTCAACATGTTGTAAGCAATGGTGTTACGGTCTTTATTTGCGAGGAAAACCTGCAGTGATTCAGTGAAAACAATTTCAGGCACGTAGTTATGCCTTGGATAATACTTTAAAGTCCAAGCAGAATATGCTAGATGTAAGAAAAATTGTCAAAAAGAAGTCTGTTGGTCGTTAGAAAGGTCATACTATCTTCCCACTTTAAAACATAAATTTACCAATATAAAGAAATATTTAACAATTATTCCTCGAGCCCGAATGAGCTATTGACTCAGAGGCCATGAGGGCGAGAGGAATAATTGTTTTAGTAAAATCCAACCAGTTGGTCAAAAAGATCGAGACAAAACAACTTTAGCTAGTTAAAGCAAGACTTAAATCCTTTTTTGCCGCCAAAAAGCCGGCGCTTTTCGCTACTAGTGGGCTATAACATATAGCCTAGTAGTAGCTCAACCAATCAGAACGCAGCATCGATAATAGACCACTAGTTGGATTTTACTAAATAGATTTAGCCAAGGCCAAAAGCGATGCTCTTGTGGGAACTTTTAAGAGAAAGTCGTTCTGAAGTTTTCTGAGCCTGATATCACTTGAATACCATAACTGGTAGGCGGAGAACTTAAAAAGAAACCCTCAACTCAACGAGTTGTACATTTGAGCCAGCGATACAGCCATGTGACACTAGTCAGCGGATACCTTATTTTAATAGCTGTCGACTGATCACGACATGGATGCCCAGTATCAAGTTAAACACAATTTGTATATACCTTGGATTTTTAAGCTAGTAAGGCATTCCACATCCGCTAACATGATGGGCCGGACGTACGTACTTACAGACTGACGTACGGACGTACGTACAGATAATTTTGTAATAACCGAAATTTCTTGGATACATAGATGACTAAATTTTCTTACCTATAGTGCGCCAAAGCAAGCGACAGCTCTGCTATAAGTGGGATAAGATTCACTCAAGCCAGTTGTAAGGTGCCACTCTCTATGAGGACACCTAAGTGGTCGCTTAATAGAGTTTTTACTTACAGGGATTTACTGACAATTTTGTCCTCAGAGTGACTGCGTAATAGGAGGCAGTTAAATAGAGGTTCGACCGTATTCTTGCGCGCAATAGCAGTGTTTCCAAAAAGCTGAATAATCACATTTTCTCAGAAAATGAAGCGCTTTTATAAGTAAAAATAGCGGGTACTGAGGTCTACTCAAGCGAAATGCACTTATGTTCTTCTTAAGGAGAACGTAAATCCGCATTTTCTTCCTCAAACTGCTTTCAAAGGAGGTAACAGCTATAAGAGCGACATCTCACGTTTTTGAGTGACGCACGTCAAGCGGAAGCGGACTTTTGCATTCTTAGAAGGCGGTTTTGCCTGAAGTCTTGGGCAAATCGTCTGTATAAGCGTCAAGACACATAACAATGAAAACGTGCTGGCGTCAAGGCATACTGAAAGGGAAAAGGCCTCACTTTCGCTTGACATCCGGCGCTCAAAGACGTTGTTGCTTAAACTCCCTATTTACATACCTTTGCTGAAGTCTGATGTGGCTCTTTGTAGAACTGGAAGATCACCCCATCATCACTGTACTGCAATCTGTACTTAGTTACCCATTGATCGTGGTCACTTCTCCCTTGTGTTGCGACACGAGTTAATGTAGTGTAACCACCAAGGTTTATCTGAAGCCATTGGTTAAGATCGTTTGTGCGAGATGACCAGGCTCCTCTTTTACTGCCCCTTTTTTGATATCGCATGTGCAGCCTGGCCCGTGATGCAGCATGATTGTTATCCCACTGCGAGGAAGCACTTATTTGGGCATCAGTTATTGCTCCACTGTCCATGCCGAGAGGGTCAACGCAACCTAAATTTAAAAATATATCAAAAGTTACTACCAGTAGATTTGCAGGCACCCTACCAGCAAAGCCCCCTTTCTATCGCTTGCTTGATTGTGGTGTACTCGAGAAAAACCCGGCATGAATCGAGTAACATCTTTGTTTAGCACGCGCGGCATGTTTCTAAGATAGAGTTTCGAACCAAGACCTACTACCCATGCGCATGCTACAGAGGGCTCGGTTGTGACTATCGGTTTGTCAATAAACGGATGCTTGCACTCGAAAAAACCATTTTGACGAGAGAAAACAAGAGTGAATAGTCCAGAAGTTGGGGCTGTGGCAACCTCAAAGGCTTGTTGCCATTCTGGCAGAACCTCCTTTTCTCCTTCTAATGAACAGATGAATAAGGTAAGAAAAGACTCTGCTCGTAGGGTCAAAGTTGTTAGAGCAACTCAGTCAGATTAACGTTTACTGTAAGTTCTGGTAGTCTTTTATATACGGTCCGGGGCTCAAGCAGATACTGAAATAAAATATTCCATCTTACGTGATGAAAAAGATGAAAGCTTGCTTTTTTTGTTCTAATTAAGTGTTGCAATTTTGCGTAACAGCACCTGGACAACCGTAGACCTCCGTTCTTAAAGACACGTGATTGTGCCACTCAAGAGGCAACAGCCGAATGAACCGAGCCGTGATTGGTGGAATCAGAGTGTGGTATACAACAGTGTCACTGTCTTGATTTCCTTGAAAGGCCTACAAAGCAAACAAAGGTTTTAAGAACGAGGTTGTTTTAAAACTATTTCAAATTGTACAAGTAGGGAGCTTTGGCTAGTCTGACGTTTAACGATAACAGTACATTTTAGTTACAGCTGGGTATCCTTGCCAATCGATAATTGACATCTTTCGCATAGAACACAGATGCAATGTTGACAACCGTAACATCCAAAAAGGTTTTTTGAAGTCGAAATGCTTTACTGTATCTGAAAGGGCATTTTAGAAAGTGATACGGTAAGTGGTTTTAACTTAAAAGTTCAGAGTTCCCCCAATCTTAGTAAGGCCTCTTTCACGAAAAGAAAGGTTGTCAAGGGAAAGAGGGTCACCCTCCCAGCCAAGTCAACTTTAGCAAGAGTTTATGTGAGTTTCGCCGAGTTAAGAGCTAACAATGGCGCTTGTTATGTTTATGCTCTGATTGTCTGTCCTTGACCGAGGTGGCCCGGATAGACAAGGCGAAAAGTTTAACCGGAAAAACGTTAATGCGGCTAGGACGGTCAATCTCACACTTAAACCCAGCTAGGCGGCTCATATTTCTAGCCGAGCCAATGTTTTGTTTGTGTTTCAGACGGTTCGCCAAGTTTGGTGAAGAAATGTAGGAAACCTTAGCACACCCGTGGTACCTACTCGGGACATGTTTTCTCCTCCGAAATGGGTTCTAAGTCATATTGATTTACCTTATAAGGATGAAAATTCACACCATCTTCACAGAACTCTAACGTGTACCTGGTGACCCACTCATTAAAGCCATTTCTCCCTTGAGTGGCCAATCGCGTTATTTTAGTGGAGCTACCGAAATCTATTTGAAGCCAAGGATGATGATCATTTTCAAGGGCTGACCAGGCTCCAAATTTGCTTCCCTCCGCTTTGGAATGCAGCCTGGCTTGCGCAGCAGAATGGGTGTTGTCCAGTTTTGAAGACGCGCTTATCTGGGAATCAGTGATTGTTCTGAGAGCCATTCCAAGTGCTGCTGTACAACCTAAATTGTTAAGAGCGGGAAAAACAAGCTTTTCAACGATATTTCCCATCACGGCGAAACCTTAGCAACAGGGGCTGTAATCGAGGAAAGACAATAGAGAGATAGTTGAGATCCAGATGTTGGGAATAAGGGGGGTATCAAGATGATTGTTAAAGGGATTGGCGAGTGGTCGCCCCTTGTCCATTGATCCAAGACGGTCCTGGATTCTGAATTCAACGCTGTGGATTCCAGGCACTGGATTCCGCATTCCTAGACAATGGAACTTACATTCCAGATTCTAATCGTTAGCAGGATTCAGGATTCTAAAACTTAAGGTGGCTGAACACAGTTTTGGCAGTTTGTGAGTAAATGTCATTTGCCAAATCATGGCAAGAGAGAGGTTGCAGCTCACAAGCTGAAACTTGGCAAGTGAATAATATACTGATGAAAGATTTTGATTGACAGGTAAAATGTGGCGATTGAATACAACCTTAAAATTTCACTTTTGCTCAGTTTACATAAAATTTGCTCATTAGATTTTCGTTTAAACTTGCACACAGCTTACTATAAGTAATCATTACCATTTAAAACTATTAGACCAAATTTTAACAGACGGGTTTTTAGATAATCAATCATACAATTGTACTGTAATTATTAAATGTGTCACAAAATTCGTCAGTTCAACTTCCATTTTAACGTTCTCATTATTTAAAATACGATAAAAGTGAAAATTCTGCCAAATATCCTCTGTGTACCATTGCTTTTTTTGCCGCCCTGTTTGTTTGTCTAATTAAAAGAAGGCGCCGTCACGCGAGTTACCGCCGCAAAACTGTGTTCAGTCAACTTAAGATGTCGGATTCCACAAGCGAAATTTCCAGAATTCCGAACTTCGGATTACTAAATACATGAGGCGAGATTGGGAAGATGATCGCAATGTTTCAGGTACTGACATGATGAAAGTGATAGAGGCAATAGTAAAGCCAAAAGAGAAAATACATTATTTATTTATTTATATGAAATCGATCCTCAGTACCAGGGCAGCCATAGATCTCTATTCTCATCGATATGCGACTATGCCACCCCACTGGAATCAGCCGAATGAAGCGAGTCGTGACTGGTGGACTCAGTGGGTTGTAAACAACTGTGCTGTTATCCTGATTCCCTGGAAAAACCTGAATATAGGAAAAATACCAGAAAGCTATACGTCAACAAAAGGGATCAATTTAGGTTTCTGGGAAACTGCTATCTACCCCTTCCTTAAGATAAGGTAACACTTATTTCTTAATTAGGGCAAAATGATGGCTTAGGGGAGGGGTATGTGGGCAGTTCCCCGGAAACCTAAATTGATCTAACAAAAGTTAGAACTTGCAAATTGATTTGCGAGCTGTTCGTGCTTTCATAGCAATGATGATCTCATGTCCTGCGATCTTGGACAGAGAAACTTACAGAGTTGGGGCCAGTCAATTACTTTTTCAGTTGCTTTCAATACGGCTCCCGCGGTACCTCCAAGCTTTCGTTAAAAAAAAAAAAAACGCGCGCTTTGCAGGCTAGACAGCCATACCTTCGCAGAGTCAATAGTGATCACTTTGAAAGAGTGAAAGGTGTCTCCATCATCACTGTACTGTAACCTGTATTTGGTCACCCACTGATCATACCCATCCCTTCCCTGAGTTGCCACACGTGTTACTCTGGTGAAAGTACCAAGATCCACCTGAAGCCATTGGTTGAGATCATTCTTGAGAGCTACCCAGCCACCTCTTTGGTTCCCATCTGACTTGGAATGCAATCGGGCCTCTCTTGCAGAATGGGTGTTGTCCATTTGTGACGAGGCTGTTACTTGGGCACCAGAAATGGCTTGATTTTCCATTCCAAGTGATCTTACACAACCTGAATAAATACGTGAATATCTCTAATACCGCGTTAAAAACATCCTAGAAATCTTTGGCTAAAGTGAAGCGAATTTCCTTACTTAATTTTCGAACACTTCTTTCACAAAAACAAATAGAAGCGCCATCTCGTGCAAACTAGGTGAGGATCATTAAAGCGCCAGAATCAAAGAGAAGAGAATTTGTTTCCAAACTAGACTGTACCGATATTCCACCAAAATTTGCCTTAAGTTGATTGGTGTCGTAATACTATGACAAGTCGACAGTAGGGCTAACAGGGACAAAATCCAGGCAGGCTCTTTGTATAAATATTTAATTATGATTTTTTGTTTTCCGACACATTTCGGATTACCTGGACAGCCATAAATTTCAATCCTCAATGATATCTGACTGTGCCACTCCAACGGCAAAATTCGAATGAAGCGTGCTGTGATTGGTGGTTTTAAAATGTTGTACACAACCGTGTCGCTGTCTTTGTTTCCACCAAAAATCTAAAAAAATAGTATCAAAGTAATGAGAAACTGTGAAAGGTTTGAACCCAGGAGCAATTTCATAAGTAGGTTGAGTATGATCGTCCCGGTGAACGTACTCCTGAATAGAACTGCTATTGACATTTATATGTAAATATCATTGATGCATGGCATTTACGATGAATCCTCCCGAACTGCCACAACTGGGGAACCAAACTGTCGTCCTTGCTATCGCTATGTTCAGCACTGGTCCAGCAAAACAACCCTTATTTTTGCGTTGGTCAAGAACACACGCTATGGACTATGGGCTTGTGAGGCTTGTGTGCTTCGTGCGAAAATCTCACGTGGGTGGCTTAAAAAATCGATTTTAAGGGAGAAAAACCTGCTTCTTAGCAGTCCTCGTTCTCAAAAAGGTAAGTAAGAGGCGTAAAGGGTGAAGGGTTGAAGCTCGGGACGGAGCCTCCTTGTATAAAACTTTGCTGAGTCCTTGCGGGAAAAAAGGCATACCATGACGTTGATATTGTGTATAAAGTCATGATTTTAGTGTCAGGGTTTATTTCAATGAAATTCTGGAGTTGCCAATGGAAGCAATACGACTGATCATATCAAGTTTTAACCTGAGTAGTGTTCGAGGTGTAAACTTTCCGCCCGAGAGCAAAGACTTACCATTGCGGAGGCGTTAGCTGCTTCTTCATACGACCGAAAGATGAATCCATCGTCGCTGTACTGTAACAAGTACTTAGTCACCCATCCACTAAAGGAGTTTCTTCCCTGAGTAGCCACATGTGTTACTCTGGTGTAAGTCCCAAGATCTACCTGAAGCCATTGGTTAGGATCATTTTTGAGAGCTGACCAACCACCGCCTTTGCTGCCACTTATCTTAGCATGCAATCTAGCTTGGTTTGCAGCGTGATCTTCATCCACTTCTGAAGAAGCGCTTATCTGGCCGTCTGAAATAGCATTATTTTCCATTCCAAGTGGGGCGAAGCAAGCTTGAACATAACAAGGAATATAAATATATGAAATCTAAAATACGTTTGGATTGTAATGTGCAGGCTTTTCTTCTTTTATCATTCCGTTCATTCAGTATAAAGGTGGCCAAAATACTGCACGAGCGACTGCATTAAGTTGAAAAAAAATAAGAAGAACATGTCACTTACCATGAATTTTAGTGAACATGCCCTATTTACTAAGCAAGTGAAAGAAAAATATAAAGAACACTGAGGCGAAAGGGTTGGGTAAAAGAAGTCTCAGAAAATACTTCAGAATACCTGCACAACCATAGAGCTCCATTCTGAGGGAAATCCGGTTATTCCACTTGGTCGGCAGGATCCTTAAAAAGCGTGCTGTGATTGGCGGATTCAAGTTTTGGATCACAACGCTGTCACTGTCCTTGTTACCAGCAAAAACCTAAACGAAGAAAACAAACATTAACAGTGTACTTACGTCGACAGGACTCGGGGGACATGAACTGTTTTCAAGCAGTAGGAGGAAAACCCCTGTTAACCGGAGTTCTTGAGAGGCGCTATTTCAATCGGGTAAAAAGTACGCATGTCAATCAGAATGAAAGCAATACGTCGTTTAGTTCAATTCATTAAAAAGCTTATGTGTAAGTAGAAAGATTATAAGGACGCAATTCGCCACTTAAAAAACAAGAAAAAAATAGGCTTAGCAAAGAGTTCTGGAATTGTTATTAAGGACAGGGAAAAAAATTGGTCAGTAGAACGGCGCGTCCCCAGTCTCCATCCAAGAAGCAATTGAGGGACTCATTACGGCTCCAGTGCCCTTCTTTTGCAAAAAAAGCGTGAAAGAGAGCCATTTTTTTAGGACAGAGCAGTACCTTAGAGATATTGGTTCCTGGCACTCTGCACGTTTGGAATGTCGCGCCATCATCACTATAGTTTAATTTGTAGTTAACTACCCATTCATTGTGGGCGTGTCTACCCTGAGTCGCAATACGTGCTACTGTGGCATAGCTACGGAAATCCACCTGAAGCCATTGGTTGGGATCGTTTGAGTGAGATGACCAGCCTCCATCTTTGTTTTCGTCTGTTTTGAAATGCAATCTGGCTTTCGTTGCAGAATGTTGGCCATCCAGTTGTGAAGATGCGCTTACTTGAGAATCGGTAATTGCTTCGCTTTCCATGCCCAGAGGCGCTTCACAGGCTAATCGTAAGAAAGATCAGTAGAGGAAATTTACATGTATGTTAGATGTTGCATCAATGTCAAAACGGTATTTTGTCATGATACAGCAAAAGCCAACATTTTTCAAAAAAAATTTCATAAACTTTTGAAATAAATAAATCAAGGCTGACTGCACATGCAGCTGGGATACTAGACTTACCCTCAAGTCGAGCTAAAAAAATTTCTCGAGCGCGAAGCACGAGCGGGAGATGTGTTTGTCTTCTGCGGCACAAGTGAGTTACTACAGGTAGAGGAAATTAGAAGCGTAGGACTTTGAGAAAGTCCACTAGGACACCTTCTGACCTCTTCAGGAAATAGAGACGGCCCCGAAGAATTTTTAAAATAGTTCAGGATTAGCTAGACAGTCGGCCTAGCTTTTTGTCTCCACGTATGTTCTGCCTTATCAAAGCGGGTGACTTTAAAAACTTGAACTGAGGTTGATCTCGGCAGTATTCGCTGCAATTTGGGTTTCTTGATTGTATATGACTTGGGATTCCATTATGGTGTGAAGGCCGCGAAATGAACAATCCTGAGGCAGTTTTTTTAAAAAAATACCTGAACAGCCGTAGAGTTCCATTCTCATTGATATGTGACCGTACCAAGCCTCCGGAAGTATCCTGACATAACGCGCTCTTTTTGGCTGGCTCAATGTTTGGTAAGCAATGGTGTTTCTGTCTTTGTTTCCATCAAACAACTATCCAAACATAATAAACAATTATTTCATACACCGATATATTTTTAATTATTATTGGCTCGTAACCTTCTGAACTATAAATGAATTTTCTTAAATACAGCAAATTAATAATAATAATTAATAACAACAACAGCAAAAACAAGAACCAAGTAACGTAGACAGTGGCGGATCCAGGAATTTTTGATGGGGGGGCGGGTCCAAACTTTGGTTCAGAAAGGACTTTTGAAATTTTTTGTGGCAAATTACTTCTCACAGAGACGAGCACGCGCTTCTCAATCTGCGAACGCCGGTCGCCGGTTGCGCGGGAAATACTGCTTGGCGAGCAGAGGCGAACAGATCATAGGAGGGTACCCAAAACAATTACATTTTTTGAATATCCCTGGAATTTAGTTCAGTGGCAAGTACAACGCGCGTTTCACGAAAAAAATCAGCGAGTTAAAGAGTGATATACGATCCTGCTGATGTGAGAATTTCAGTCTCAAACAAGCGTCAGGTCTGATATGGGGGGTCCGGACCCCCTGGACCCTCCCCCTGAATCCTTCCCCTGGATCCACCACTGGTAGAGAAACAATCGCCCCATGTAAAGCGATCCAAGACAGTCTTGGATTCTGGATTCCAATCGTTAGCGAAATTTTCGGATTCTTTGAGCTTCATTAACAGGATTCCGGATTCCACAAGTATCACCGTCTTGCCGGATCACGGATTACGCAAAAATTTGCCGAATTCCGGAATCCGGATTACGTAAAATGAGGCGAGAAGCATATTAACTGGGCGTACCATTGCTGAATCTTGTCCTAGTGCTTTGTAAAAATTGAAGTTCACTCCGTCTTCGCTGTACTGTAACCTGTACTTGGTAACCCATTGGTTCCAATCACTTCTGCCCTGAGTTGCTATGCGAGTCACTGTGGTATATTTCCGAAGATCAACTTGAAGCCACTGATAAATGTCATTGGTGATGGCGCACCAAGCTCCCACGCCGTTTCCAGCAGACCATTTCCCGTTTAATCGAGCTCTACGCGGACCATGATTGTTACTCCACTGCGAAGAGGCGCTTATCTGGGCATCAGAGATTGCTCCATTTTCCATACCAAGAGGAGCTATACAACCTGTAATACAGTCAATAACGAGGTTGATAAGTAGAAATTAAAATGTTGGAACATTATGGTGGAAGACCCTTAACGGTTGGACAATATAGTTACAGATCAAAGAAACAGCGCACAATATAAATACAGAGCAAAACCACGGCGGAGAGTAGCAAGCCACCTCTTAAAAACGCTCTGAAGGTTACTCTGACTGAAGGAGACCTACTTGGTGCATTAGGTTCTTTGGGAGTTCTGTAGAACATTATGAGTAAAGAATGGTTCCATTTCTTAACTTATCATTGCAATTTGTAACGACATGTTGCGTTACGACATATTTGTTGACTTTCATGTTGTGTCTCCAAACGATCCCAAGAAACTTTGTGGTCGTATATCGTACCCAGTTTTTTTCATTCTTTTAGAACGTGACGAATGATCATGCATGTGGGACGAAACAGTTGAAAAAGCTTTCATAATGTCATCCGTGCATTTGTACTTTGACTAATCCCAGGTAATGACCGACCAAAATGTGTGTTGACTTCAGCATATATGGTTTAATTGATGGTAGCAGTTTAATAACTGTTAACCGGCTTACTTACCTGGACAACCGTAGATCTCCATTCTGAGACATATATGATTGCGCCACTCTATTGGCAATAACCGAACTAGGCGTACCGTGATTGGTG